AGGGGCCAGCCAGGCTTTCTCTGCAGCTGAGGTAAAAAATGCCGCCTTCTACCCCGAGGCCGCCTCCTCAGCCCCACTAAGTCCAACAGCCAAGTTCAACAAAGGCTTGCTTTTTGTCCTACACAGCTATCGCCTCTGTAAGTCACACTCCTGGAATAAGACTTTTCCCTTGAGGCACTTTGTTCACTCCTTTTGCTTGCGCATTCATTCATTTGTTCATAGACTGTCTATTCATTCATTCCCAGGAATACGCTAGATTTTGAGAATACAGAGAAGAGCTCCTGCCCTCCTGGAGCTCACAAGATAAGTAAGAAAGACAGACAGCAGGCCTCTGAGTCATCTTGAAAGTGTAATTTATCATAGACCACCACCTCGCACTTTGTCAACTCTAAACTCCTGAGGGGGCCTTAATTATTGCAGCCAGGTAGGGAGGGGAGGAAAGATGCCATCCACCCTAGGGTCAAGGCAAGAGTTTCCTTGTTGTGGACTTGTCCATCCCCTGTGGGCCAGCGGATATGCCGAGTTCATCCCAGGAGGGGCCTGAAGCCGTCCCATCCACGTCCCTCATATTCTTCGTGCTGGGTCACTTCCAGGGCCGCCACCTCACACTCTGACTGGTCACTGCTCCCCAAGTCTTCTGTCACTATGGTCATCAACTGTTCCAGTGCCGCCCGGCCCAAAAAGCCAAGTCAGCACCCCCATTCCAGCACGCATGCGAGGAACCCCGCCCCCCCCCACCCCCCGCTGAGCTAGCATCATTTCCCACTGGGCCTCACAACATCCCTGCCATTTACCCTGCGCCCTCTCCAAGTCCTTGTTTGTTCCTCCCTCCCTTCAGCCCCAGCTTCTGCTAAGGCACTGCTTCTGAGCTTTGCACTTGGGCCGATACAGACTCAGCCAGTGCCCAGGCTACAAGCAGACCAATAAAGTCTGTCTATGGCTGGGATCCAGGTCACAGTGTATTTTTTAAAAAACTCTACAGGTAGTTCCAGTGCACCGGCAAGGTGGCGACCTAGAGCCCATTAACACTGAATCGCTCTGTGGTTGGCCCACCCTGTTTGGGGTTTGCCTCCGGCGCCTGCTTCCGTTTGCTTGGCACACAAGATGATACTGGGCAGCAGCTAGTTTGTGGGAACCGTTAAGGGCTCCTCCCCTCCACCTTCTCCCCTGGCAGCCTGCTCAGCAGCCGCTCCTTGAGCCTGTGCCCTCTCGCCTGTCCCCCCACCAGGAATTCCACTGCCCCCTCATGCTGTCTCCTGCCCTTCACAACCAAGCCCACCAGCCCTGAATCCCTCCACCCAGCAAACCTCCCTGGCCCAAGGAGCCACACCGATGACCTACTAAACTCATCATATGGAGCTTACGTGCCGGGGTGTTCGTGCAGTTCTTTATTAAAATAGCAAGAAAAAGGGGGAGTGTGTGATTTGGAAACAATCCAAAAACTTTTTTAAAAATTGCCAACAAGTCAACTCTGACTCGTGGTGACCCTGTGTGTGTCAGAGTGGAGCTGTGCTCCACAGGGTTTTCAGTGGCCGGCTGTTCACAAATAGATCACCAGGCCTTTCTTCTGAGGCGCCTCTGCATGCGCTCGAAACACCAACCTTTTGGCTGGCGACCAAGAGGACTGACCGTTGCACCACCCAGAGGCTCCATCCAGCAGTAGGGAATTGATTAAAGAAATGATACATTGCAGTACAATAGAAGATTATAAAATACATATATGAAGAATTAGTGGAGAGACAGGATACAGTGTTCCATGAAATAAGCGGATGGTAGTGCCACAAGGCTCCTATATTATATGTAGTATGAGCTCAACCATTTATAGAAAAAAGCCTGGAAGAAAATACAAACTGCCAATAGTGGTTGTCTCTGTGTGAAAAGATTATAGTTGCCTTTTGTTATAATTTTTTTTTTAATTATACATTGAGCATGTATCAGTAACTCTTATAATCAGGGAGAAGGTGATTTTTTAAAAAAAAGAATTGGGCTGTGACTGTCAGGTGATAGGTTTTTCTTGCCTCAATGCAAGAGTCCAACGGGGACTTTCCTTTTCAGACAACACGGGGTTCATAGAGGTGAGTCCTGGCCTGGTGTCTGGAGAAGCATCTTTTAGGAAAATAAGATTCTCTTAAAGGGAAGCCCCTGAGAAGGGTTAGCCCAGTGAGCCAGCTCTGGAGAGCTCCACCCCCTGGTCTGGGGGCCCTGCTGAGCCAGGTGCAGAGGCGGGGCCTTCCTGAGCCTCACTCTGGTGCTGGATGCTGATTGGCTGCCACTTCGCCTAGTAGCACCACTGACATTTTTCTTTGTGTTATCTCTGCAAATAGTTAACCTTTGGTTATACTTGTCTTGACTTAATAAGATGAGTTAATTGAGTAATTATTCATTCACCAGGTGCAGGAATAATGTCATGTAATATAATGCCAGGTGTAGTTTAATGGCTTCTCCTGACCCATGACTTATGCTTGGTTTTGCATATTCAGCTAAAGGAAATAGTTTGCAAACAGCACCTGCCTGTTTATTAATAGAATAAAGCTGATT